AGTTACAGGTCCCTGGAGTGAACAGTGAGGAGGAGGAATATGGGAGACAAGCAATCTGGGGATCCAGTGGTTCAGCGAGCCAGGATCTGTTTTTTTTTTTTTTTTTTTACTCTAAAGCAGTCAAGCGAGTCCCTGCAGTCCAGCATGGGCAAGCCTGATGCAGGGGAAGGAACCACTGCAAAGTATGCAGTTTGCTTTGATATTGCAGTGACATATCCATTTACTTTTTTTAATCATGCTAGAAGAGAGTTAAATATCCAATAGAGGTAGAGTTGCTATTGGCTTCTCATTCCCATGTACAGTTAGGCAGAGGGAGCCCTGCAGAACAGTTTATGTGCACCGGGATGTCCCGTGAATGTTCCATAGAGATCTAGAGGAAACTTTCCTGAAAGTCGTCTGCAATCCTCTGCTGCAGGTTTCTGGGGAGGGCTGCCTTATTTCTTCTGCCACGGTAGGACACTCTCCCATGCCACTCAGCAGTTACTTCAGCAGGCACTGTTGCAACACACAGGGTAACAACATATGGCCCCAGTCTGTGGCTGGAAGTGTGCAAGAACTGTTCCCTTTCAGCCTCTGTTACCCTCCAGAGTGAGAGATCTCTGCTGAAATCAACACCGCCTGTGGAAAATGGTGCCTGTATTCTGTTCAACTGCCCTATTTGCATGGCTGTGAGCTACCTCCCCCTTATTGTCCAAACTCCACACGCATCCCATCCTGGTCTGTAGTCACAAGGGCTGGGACTCCTGCCGTGCTTTGTGAATCCCCAGAAGCAGTGAGAATGTAGTGCTTGCAACTTGTGTGGATTGAAGGTAGGGAGTTCATTATATGAAGTTTCCGTTTATTTTGTGAATATATTCACAATAGAACCTCTGCACGTTGCTGCTGGAAATGTGGCCTTGAGAGTCTCTCCATGCATGCCAGCAGATTAACTCAGCCGGATAAGGAGAAGGAAGAGGACGTAGAATGGCATGTTCCAAAAGTGCCTGCAAACCTCTGGTGTTTCAGATACTCAGCACAGGTCTTGAAGGATCGCCTTGGCGGACAGAGTGGACAAGGATATTACTACACACACACAGCACTCATTACAAGGTTCATATTGGGGTACAGAAAACAATGGCAGATCACGCTACAGCAACACGCATTACTGTGGCCCACTATTGAAATGGTCTTTCAAAGCCTCCCTGAGTGATATAGCTCCCTGTTGAGCTCTTCTTATAGCTGACAGCCTTTCTACCTTCACCCCACTGGAAACTTTTCCTTCTTTGCTTCACAGATATTTTGAAGCACACAGCAGGCAGCTATAACCATTGGGATATTTTTTTCACTGAGGTCTAATCTCGTGAGTAGACTGTGCCAGTAGCCTTTCAAATGGCCAAAGGCACATTCAGCTGAGCCTGTAATTGAAGTGCTCCTTGCTACTGTCGAGGTGGTCGGTTTATGGCTTCATGGGCCACGGGAGAAAGGGGTAGACTGGGTTTCTAAGGATCAGCATGGTAATCCTCTGGTCTGGAAAGAAAAGTCCCTGCTTGCAGCTTTCTGAACAGGCCCGTATTCTTAAAGATACAAGTGTTATGTGCCTTCCCTGACCATCCCACACTGATGTCAGTAAAACGTCACCAGTGATCTACCACCGCTTGCAGTACCATAGAAAAGTAGCCCTTTATGTTGATGTACTCTGGCACCAGACCACATTGCTACAAAATAGGGATATGCGTGCCATCTATTGCCCCACTGCAGTTCTGGAACCCCGTTGCTGCAGAACCATCCATTATGTCCTGCACATTGCTCAGAGTCACAGTCCTTCACAGTAGGATGCAGTTAATGGCCCTGCATGCTTGCATCACAGCAATCCCTACTGTGGATTTCCCAACTCCAAATTGATTGCTACTGATCATTCGGGAATCTGGCATTGCAAGTTTCCATGCAGTGATTGCCACTCACTTCTCCACTATCAGTGCAGCTCTTATTTTGGTGTCACTTTGCTGGAGAGGTGGGGCAAGCTCTGCACACAAATGTAGGAATGTGGCCTTGTGCATCATCCTATACCTGCAGAACACTGCAATCTCACCAATCAGTGCTTGTATCTCAGGCCCAGAACTGGCATCCCACCATCTGCAGCTGCTCTGTGAATGCCAACAACAACCTTGAATTGTTTCTTTTTATGTCCCACAGCAAGCTAACCTCTAAAGAATCATCATGGTCCCTGCAGGTCCTCTGGTGGCTCTGCAAATACTGCAGGATCAGGTGCCCTGTGCTCACTACTCTCATCACAATAGTGCAGAGCTGTGCAGGATCCATGCTTTTCACACAGAGTGGATGTGCGGGTTTGTGGGACTTTTGAAAAGAGGCATGGAACATTATGGGATGCAGATAAAATTATGGGATGGAGAAAAGGGCATCGTGAGACATTGAAACCATGTTCCCCATCACCCCTGTGCAACTCATTTACCTCTGAGACATTGCTCACCCTTACCAAAACACCCTGTGTTCGGAGATAGCAAGTTTTACAGTGGGATAGCTAGCTATGGTGCACAGCTCTCTGCGTCGATGCAGGCGCTGGTAGTGAGGACATGCACCACTGACACAAGGAGCATAGTGTGGACACGCAAATGTGATTTAATTACTGAGGTGGCTGTACATTGTTGTAACTTAAGTTAACTTAATTTTGTAGTGTATACTTGCCTGTAGCTCCTTCAACCTGGTTCCAAATGATGGGCACTATTAAAGGCATACAAGTAGACTTTCTCCTTCACAATAATGGATGGAAGATGCAATTAAATTTCTATGACAGATGGTGAATAAAGCTTTCTGAACATAGTTACTGATGCTGTCCCTATGTGTTTGTACAATGCTTAGCACAGTGGGGTCTAATCCTGATTGGAACCAATATGGTCTGACAGAAAACAAATAAGTAATACTACTGTCTCTGACATTACCACCTTTCATCTTCTAATTCTTAATGTTTATGCTAGACATCTGAAGTACATGTAGATTATTCTGTTATAAGGAATGTGGGCAGAATTTGCAGGCCACTTTGGTAACTTGCTAGGTGTGTAAGGCTACACACAATGTCTTTTTCTGAGAACAAAATTGATCGATTAAAGTCAAATTCTGATCCCTGAATGTACATTCCATGTGACTTGGTAAAAAGCCACTGTGGATCCGAAAACTAACTATGTAAAGAAGGGGTGTGCAGACTACAGCCCACAAGCCAAATCTGGCCCGCGAGCCGCACCATGCGGTTTGGCCCCGCTCCAGCTGGGGCACTGGGTCGGGGGCCGCACCACACGGCTCGGCCCTCCTCCAGCTAGGACGCTGTGTGCCGGAGCGGGGCCGAACCACATGGTGCGGCCAGGGCTCTGGGTTGGGGGCTGCCCCACGCCGGCCGGAGCACTGGGTCGGGGGCCACACCACGCGGCTCCCGGAATCCGCAGCATGCCCCCGCTCCGGCTCCTACACACTCCAGTGGGAGCTGCAGGGGGGTGCCTGCAGAATGGGCAGTGTTCAGAGCTGCCTGGCTGCTCCTCTGCCTAGGAGCTGGGTAAGGGACATGCCATTGCTTTCGGGAGCCGCTTGAGGTAAGCACCACTTGGAGCCTGCATTCCCTGAGCCTCTCCACACACCCCAACCGCCTGCCCCAGCCCTGATCCCCCTCCTGCTCTCCAAACCCCTCGCTCCCAGCCCGGAGCACCCTCCGGCACCCCCAACCTCTCATCCCCAACCCCACCCCAGAGCCTGCACCCCTTTCCACAGCCCTGATCCCCCTCCTGTCCGCCAAACCCTTCGGTCCCAACCCAGAGCACCCTTGTACACCCCAAACTCCTCATCCCCAGAGCCCGCACCCCCTCGTGCACCCCAACCCCAATTTTGTGAGCGTTCATGGCCCACCATACAATTTCTATTCCCCATTGTGGCCCTCGGGCCAAAAAGTTTGTCCACCCCAATGTAAAGCAATAACATGTATGCAGGTACAATATGTCTCTCTTATCCCAATGCTTACCTAGAGAAGTGAAAAAGGCATTAATACAGTTTCTAAGTAATTTTTTCGTGCAGTTTACTTACTTAAATTTGTGGCAGCATCTCCCTTCTCTCTCTCCCCTCCCCCCAATATTAAAAATGTAACTTATAAATTTCTTAGTCAGTTTATAATTTCAGCAGGACAAAATACTGTGTGCCATGATGCACATTGATACTTGTTTATCATATGTCTACTAGTAAAAGTGAAGCATATCCATATTTTAAAAACATGTATCCATGTTTTACTACTAAAAATTTAATACATTACTACATAGCTTGGAAAATAAGCTTCTGTGCTTGCATGCATTACACAGCAGCTGATTTTTACATGATATACATCAAGTATTGAACTGTAACTGACTATATGTTGATGTTATCGAGACCAAGTGGATTGGCATGCATCCTCTCTTTTGGTTTCTTAAACCTGTCTTTTTGCTTTTCACTATGTCCTTCAGCCTCCACCTTTTCTAGAAACCAACAAACTTTATCTTGTACTCATTTATACCCTATATATTGTATACATCTACTCCAGTAATGTATTCCATATGTCTTTATCTTTAATATTAAATGTTCTGGTCTGTGTTGCCTATTTATTCCTAGTTTCTAATTGGTGGGATTATCCTTTAGTACTTGAACACTTAATCAGCATATAAATTTTTTTGTAACCTTAATCCTAGTTATAATTTTGACCGGTCTCTGTTCAGTCATCATTTACTATTACATTCTAAGACAAAACTACATTAAAATGGATTTAATGTGGAGAGTAAATATCAGTAAGTTAAGGGTGGGAGGGAATAACAGGGTTTAAAAGAAATCCAAACACTTTGATCTGTGGAAATGCACAGTTAGGTCATCCATTCAACCTTAACTCTGTCCTGTAGCATGTGATTATGAGTAAGACATTTCAATGTTTTGCTCACAGATTATATTAAAGTGATTGTTAAAGACTTATTGATATTTTTCCCTTTATCTTGTCATGACAGGTTAGAACGAAGATCTTTTGGGTGCTTTAACTATATGAATATCCACTGCTTAACACGTTTGGCTTTCATTTACATGTAAATTTAACTCTGGAGTTTGCAGTGCTTAGTTGGGGATATTAAGTACAACATCTCTGTAACTTTCACTCTTAAGGTAATGACATGAACTCTTAACTTAAATTGTTTTTTCCTTTTTGGTCTTGGAATTTTCTTGGTTTTGAAAACTTCCAAATAGAACAAGTTTTGCATAAAAACTAAGCAAGAAACCCAGAAAGAAAGCTTCCATGCAATATTTATTAGATTTGAATATATGTAATATCAGCCTTTAACAATTTGTGTGCAGATTAGCTTCAGTGGAAGTATAGTGATTGGTGGAGTTACCTCTCATGTCAAAATGGCTCTTCAAGAATTACTTCAGCTCTAGGCCTGAACCTTTATGTAGCACAGGGATTCTCAAACTGTGGGTCACGACCCCATTTTAATGGGGTCTCCACGGTTGGTGTTGGCCCTGGGCCCCAGCAAGTCTCAAGCCCAAGCCCCACCGCCCAGGGCTAAGGTTACATGCCCCCTGCCCAGGGCAGAAGCCCTTGGACTTCAGCTTTGGCCCCTCCCTCCCTCCCTACCCAGGGCAATGCGGCTCAGTCTTCGGTCCCCCACTCCTGGGGTCGTGTAGTAATTTTTGTTGTCAGAGGGGGTCACGGTGCAATGAAGTTTGAGAACTGATGTAGCCTATAGAACCATAATGATTGGATACAACAATCAGTAATAACTTCACTTTGTTACAGCCTAATTTCTTCAAATTTAGCTTGTGTATAAGATTTCAATTAATTTGAACCATATGGAAAGTTTGAAACATGGTTGTTTTGACGTTTCACTCCATGTTCTTTATGAAAGTATGCTTCTAATGTGGATATGGCATAACAGATATACTTTATGCAAGATGGGTCTTGTAAGATATCATTGAAAGGTTATTATTTACTAAATGTGATTATCCAATTTGTATGCATGTATCATTTCTGTATCTAAAATTAGGAATATGGACTATAACAATTACAACTGGGGGTGTATTGGGAAGACACCCACCAGATGACGGGCCATCAGATTTGATGGGCCATCAGGAAGGAACAACAAGACCATGAAGATACTAAACTCTCTCCCTCCTGGGAGGAATCCCGGATGTAACACTACTAGGTCAGGTAGTCTTGTCACCTGATACTAAATGTTATCTGGCACTTCTTGTAACTTTCCACTGAAAGGGAAGGGGAGTCAAGTTTGGGAAACAAAGGATTCCCACCTTATGTCTTATTTAAGGGTGGAGAGGGAGGCAAACGGGACTCCTCTCCGTGTCCTGTCTGCCCAAGAAGAAAGACTGCTAAAGACACCTGAAGGGAAGGCAAGGAGATTGCGGGGGAGGGAGGGGAGTCCAGACTGAGACAGGAGTCCAGTCTGAAAAGAAATATAACTGGAACTCTAAATCACAAAAACTTTGCAACTTGCCTAAAATAATATTTAGGGTAAGAAATTGTGTTTTTTAACCTGCTTCTTAAGTATATTGAACTTAGCTTTTGTATTATTTGCTCAGTAATCTGCTTTGTTCTTTTATATTCACTTAAAATTAACTTTTTATAGTTAATGAAATTATTTCTTGTCTATAATATAAACCCATTTGTACAATTCACAATGGGCATGGGGGGGGGCGGTTGGTGGTAAGAGGCTGTGCATACCTTCCTCCACATTTGAGGGAGGAGGCAGATTTCATAATATACCTTTGGGTCTGAACTCCAAGGAAGGTGGACACCTGAGTGCTGGGGTCAAATCCCTTCAGCTGATCCTTCCCAGAACTGATATTCATGTCTGTTTCGTTCTGCAGTTGGGTGTGGCCCTGCCTCTGTGTGTGTTGGAGGAGGCTTAATAGCTTGGCTTAGCAAGACAGGTAAAAAGGGTGCCCAGGCTAGCATAACAGGCAGGCTCAGTGGTATCTCAGCACATCAGGTGGTGCTTAGTAGGCAGGATAGTGTGCACAGCTTATTGCCCTGAAATACTGGTGGTGATTTTAAGTGGGGTGACTAGAGAACAGACAAAGTGGTTACTGGTTTGTTATTTTCGGGAAGGGAAGTAGAGGCAGAAAAGCAGCAAAATGACTAAAGTGAAGTTACCAAAATGTTGGCGCTCTACGGATTGGAAGTAGAAGAAAGCAAAAAAAATGCATAAGAGATGGAAATTGATGAGCAAAGAACTGCACATCAGAGAGCCCTGGAACTGAGGCAGCTAGAGGCAGATTTCACAATATAACTTTGCGTCTGCACTCCAAGGGAGGTGGATACCTCAGTGCTAGGGCAAGTCCCTTAAGCTGAGCCTTCCCAGAACTGATCTCAGTGTCTGTTTCGTACTGCAATTGTGTGTGGCCCTGCCTGTGTGTGTTCTGGAGGAGGCTTAATAGCTTGGCTCAGCAAGACAGGTAAAAAGGGTGCTCAGGCTGGCATAGCAGGCAGGCTCAGCAGTATCTCAGCACATCAGGTGATGTCCTAAGGGGGGCAACCCGTCACTTGTTGTTGTTGTTCCATTATTAAAATGATTCGGGGCAAAGGAAACACTGTAACAGAAGCTAAATTTCTTAAGGCTCCAGTTTAATTTTAACTCAAACTAATTAACAAATTTACTTGTAAGTACTATAATTTTGGGGAAGATATATATGAAAAATACGCTAACAAAGCAGTTGAATCCCTGTTTTAAATGCAAACTGAAATTCAGCTATAACCATGGAGAGACACTAACACATCCACAATGAAAGATTTTTTCCGGTGATGAAATGTTGAATACATTTAACATTTCCTTATAACTTCTCTGTTTCTGTATAAGAGTGATCAGAACTGTGCACAATATTCCAAACTGGACTTTTACAGTCTCTCTTTAATAGTTTCTTTTAAAATTACTTTTTATAATAGGTAAATAGAACTATTGCTATGGCAAGATAATATTGGTGTGCACTGAACTTCTGGCTTCAGTGACTTCTTTAGTAATGCCTAAATACTGAACTTTTGGCTTATGTTTTTAAAAATTGTGAAAACAGTGTTGTGAATACATTTTGTTTAATGAAGAGTCTTAGCTTGTTATAAATTGGAAGCAAAAAATCCAGACCTGCGTTTATTAACTTCAATGTGCATTGGATCAGTGTCTAAGAATACAAAAGGGGAAGCTTTAAAATAAAATGTGCAACATGTACATAAAATATTCTCCTGTCATTATTATAGACCTCTACTGTGTTTGTCTAATTACCTTCTGTCTCTCTTACCACAGTCAACCAGGAGGAGTTCATTGCTATTATGACCGGAGATGTTTAAAGTTACAAGAAAATGAACTCAACAACAAAAAGGGAGGATTATTGGCTGTTAACATTTTAATTGCCATCTTATGGTTCTGTTTATTTCTGTAGCTGGACCCATGCAAAAAAATTATTTTCCTCAAAGGACCAAAATAAACATATGTCTTATGTACTGATACTTCAGTAATTTGTAACATTAATTTTTAGAGTAAGCAGTGTTAAGTTTCTAAAATGTTTGAGTATTCATTTGTAAAATAGCTTTGTATGAGATTTCTAAATTAAATCATATTCTAAAAATCTTTTGAAGTTTACTTTAACAGTAGCTGTGGCCTTAGTTTTGATATATAAAGTTTTAACAAACTTCCATTTTTAATAAAATGTTCTTTTATTATTGGTATTTGAAAGTCTTGTTGTTTTTTGTGTTGAATCCAAAACTGAATTGTACTGTAACTTAAATTGTTAGTCTTAAATATGCTTTATTTTTCAAAAATAACAGTGGATTCTTTTGTTGGGTATTTATAGTTGCACCTCCATTGTGTGTCATGACTTATTAAATGAGCAAGCATTCTTCACAGTTACATAGATGAATTCTACTAGTTTTGCATCACCCTGGTTTTCTGTGTGATGGTAAACCGTATCAGAAAATGTGAGTAATTCTGAAGTCTTTTTTTTTTCTTCTGTTTTTGTTTAAAAGGAACTAAAGTGCTCTTAAGGAGGCACAAATTTTTTCCTACAAAGTGCCTGCTAAAATAGCCACTGGAATTTTAAGCTTGTTTAATCTTTGGAATTCTTAGCCTCTGGAAACTGGTTCATTTTTTGTTCTGTATAGATACCAATTTTAGGTAGATTGAAGTGTTCTCCAGTGCCTCAGCATAGTGCAGTGCTTTTTCAGCAATAGATGAGGAAAAAGTTTCAGCTATCTTACCAAAAAAGACCTGTGCTCACTTGCTCAGGCATTCTGAATGATCAGTTCTATTCCTTCTGACTGTAAGGTGATACAATTAGTAAGAGGCCAGTGTTTTGCTGTTGATTCCAAAATTTCAGGCAACATTCTAGGATCTAGGCAGAACCCTATGGATTTTGGGAAAAATCAGAAAACCAAAAGGGGAAAAATGGGGGACACATGGTGCCCCTGATATGTTTAGCAGAGCCAGGACTTGAAGCACCTCTTCAATTTTCTATAGATCAAACACCTGGTTGATGGCACCAATGAACACCTTTCAGCATAATCACACCCCTCATCCCTGCCCATCCTCCCAATAGAGTTTAACATGCTGATACTCCTGAATGATTTACAGTAGAACCTCAGTTACGAATACCTCAGCAATCGAGGTTGTTCATAACTCTGACATGTTTGTAACACCAAACAAAACACTGATCGTTCTTTTAAAGTTTACAACTGATCATTGACTTTGCTTTCAAACTTTTACTCTGCACAAGAAAAATGCTGCTTTTAACCATCTTAATTAAAATGAAACAAGCACAGAAACACTTTCCTTACTTTGTCAAAAAAGAAATTACTTTCCCTTTATTTTTATTAGTAGTTCATTTAACACAGTACTGTACTGTATTTGCTTTTTTTTTTTTTTTTTTTCTTTGCTGCTGCCTGATGTGTACTTCTGGCTCCAAATGAGGTGTGTGATTGACTGTTCTGTTTGTAACTCTGGCGTTTCTAACTCTGAGGAGCTCCTCAATCTCCCAGTCAGACAGAAGGGAAATAATTGCTTTCCTTCTGGTAGCCACCTAGCAGGGGGGGTGGTAGGGAATGTTCAGCCAGCAGGAGAAGCCAGAGGGAGGGAAGAGAGGAGGGCTGGAGGCTTCAGCCATTCCTTCCTCCCTCCTACCACACTACCTTCTCAAAACCTGCTCCTTGGTGGGGGACACCAGCTGTCTGCTTTCCCTTCCATGCAGGGAGGAAGAAAGGTACTGGGCATTAGTGAGGAATAGGGGAGAGAGACAGTTCTTGGCATGGGAAGCAGGGGAGGAAGGAGTGAGAGGGAACAGAGCCCCTGGTATGGGGGGGAGGGGGAACAGGGAACCCTGGTAAGGGGGAATGGGAGTACACACAGTTCCTGGCTTTGGAGACAATAGGGTAGCCTTATATGGGAGAAGGGCAAATTGGGGGCAGAGGGAAAGATTGGTGGATGCTGGAATGGGGGGCACACAGAGGCTTTGGGTTGGGAGAGAGAATGAGACCCTGGTATGGGGATATCAGAATCAGGGTACTCCCACGCAGAACCCTGATATGGGGGAAAGGGGAGCCACCTGGAGCTACTGGCATGGAGGAGGAGGAAGGGGACATAGAGCCCCTGGCATATGGCAGAGGAGGAAATTGGGAATACACAGAATCCCAAGCATGAGGGATGGGGTGAGGGAAGTTGCATGGAGTGCCTGAAATAGAGGAGGATGGGAGGGTGACACACAGGGGACTTATGGTGATGGGGCCAAGTAGAGGGAGGCAAGGAGCCCCTAGTGTGTGAAGTGGGCATGGCCTACAGAAGCTACAAAGTGTACGACCCCCTAGTTGTTTTTATTACTGTTGCACCTATGAGCTCTGGTCATTGACCTGGACCCCATTGTGCTCGGTACAAAAAGATGCTCCCTGTTCCAAAGAGTTTGCAATCTAAGAATAAGAGAAGAGATAACAGCTTGATGCTGATAGATGGGGGAGTGCAAAAGAACAAATGATACAGTGATATCATGACACTTTGGTACCTGTTTTGTTTCAATATTTCAGGACCTGGTTTTGGTGCTTTCATTCCAGCACCACAAGTGTTTGTTACCTGCCATCATTTAAATGCTTCCCTACTTGTCTTTCTCAACTTTAAAACTTTTCTCTGTGCCTTGGTGTTGCTGGTTCATTTTCTGCTGTTTTTTCTTGGTGCTCTAGTACTACCATTGCTCTCAGCTGACACTAATGCCAAAGGTTTTTAGCACTTCCACATTTGCTGTATTGTTTCTGTTTTAGGGGGGCTGATACCTCTTCGTCCTTGCTTGTCTGTTGGCCTAGTGTTTCAATACACTAGCATTCTTTTTTCCCCCCTTTGCTTCATATCAACAGAGGAAGAAAGACCTCTTAGCAAGTCCAAATCATGTCAGCGTGGCAGAACAGTATCAAAGATGGATCAGCATCATGGTAACATCTGCCTGAAAGTCTACCACATTGGCATTTCTGCACAGTTATGCTTGCAAATGTAAAACTTAGCATCTAAGAAATAGGATGCAATTCTAAGCCCTTCTTCAGTTACCCTAAAAAACTCTTGTAAGCATGGCATTAATCAGGTTTCAAATTATAAACCTACAAAGCAAAAGCTTAAGTCAAAAAAACCATGCAGGCCTGGATCCACAAAGGGACTTTGAAGTTCTAAAGCCTGATTTTTAGGCACCTAGCCACTCAGTGGCATTCGTAAATCCTGAGTTAGGTACCTAGGTTCCCTACACAATGCCTGGGGAGAGAGAGGCATATGAGAATGGGATCCACATAAGCCAGCAAGCTAGGTGGAGACCCACCTCACCTAGCCAGTACCAAAAAGAGAAGTGTGTCCTAAACCCTGCCTCTCAGGGCTGGGGGCAGTGCTTGCAATCCACAGCTTGGAACCCTCTCCTGGAGGGGAGGCATCTTAGGCACCTAAGAAAGCCATTTCTTGGAAGAACAGTGGCAGTGCACACCTAACTCCACAAAAACTGGCCTGAGGGGTGGAGGATAAGCCCTAACCTCTAGGCTTTGGGAGATTCTGAAGTGGATCTCTCACAAACTCTCCTTTTGAAGTTGTGCATAAATTATTAAATTTGTATTGGACCACGGAGCATGGTCTGTTAGTCCAGTGGTTAGGGCACACACCTGAGAGCTTATCAAATCCCTTATCGGCTCGGGAACTTGAACTGGACTTGCCCACATCCCAGCTGAGTAATCTTTACCACAGTGACAGTTGGGAAACTTCTTCCCTCCCCACCAGGATGTTTTATGTGCAGTTAAGTTAGCTCTGAATGCACCTACTAAAGTGGCCTACCCAGTTTCACCTGGTTTGAGGATCATGCCTGGGGCAGGGTTTAGGGGTGTGATAAGCATCCAGGCACCAGCCTGGGACAGCAGTGGGCATGCCTAGAGGCAGAATCTTAGGGACCTAGGCAACTTGTACAGTGTAAATTTAGGCACCTACAGGATTAGGTGGCCACTGAATGAGGATTTTGTGGATCACAGTAACACCTAAATCCAGGCTTTAGGGCCCAGATTTTTAAAGGTATACAGGTGTTGTTGCACTCAGTGTTGCACCACCTAACTGGTTTAGGAGCCTCAATCTCATTTTCAAAAGGAATGTAGACACAGTCTAAATCCCATCAGTTGATAGAATTCAGACTCCTAAGTGCCTAAATCACTTTTGAAAACGAGATTGAGGCTCCACACCGGTTAGGGGTTATGATGCTGAGTGCAACAACACCTAAATATCTTTTACAATCTGTGTCTTAGTGCTTAAGTCCCTTTGTGGAAATGGGCTTCAGTGCTGGGAATCAATGCCAGCATTGCCCACTTTGGCACAGACCTAAGTTCTCCCTGTTGAGCCCAGCAGGGCCTCTCTCGCGTGTCTAGCACTATCAAAGCCAAAGCTTCTGCCAAATGTCTGCTCCCCCAGAGCATCCAGGACCTTGGTACAAGAGACCCTAGATATGGGGTGCAGAAGAAAGACCCAAAAGTTTCCCAACATGCTTGTCAAAGCACCTACCTTCATGTAACTGTAGAGAGGCCTCCAAATTTTCCTATGCTGTTTCTGTGTACTGAAATCAAAGAGGAAAAGGTGAATCTGCTGCACGGTAAGGCTGCCATAAAGCCCATAGTTCCAGATTTCAGGCATTTCCCTCATCTTGTGTTTTCTGGGGCATCAAGAAAAATGTCCAGTATCACGAGACTCGTGATAAAATCGCAAGAGTTGGCAAGAGTGAAGTGCAGAAGCTTCTGGTATGAATATAACCTATATAATTCTCCGTGTTTATTTCTATTTAGTATAGGGAAATCCTTGTAGTTCGGTACTACAGCATGGTATCTCCTGATATATTAGACGTTTAATGGTGACCACTGTATAGGTAAATGCAACTTCCCTTACTCCAAAATCAGCCATATCTAAAGCAAGAGCTACATTTTTCCTTTGTACTTGTTCATTAGGGCAGGAGTTCTATCAGTTAGTGGCTGTCACAAGCAAAACTTTTCCAGAGGTCGTGTTCTGTACCACTCTTGCTGGGAGATAATTGCCATTGAAGTAAGTCTGCAGGGATGTTGAGAAGGTTTTCATCATTGAGTAACAAAAGGGAAATGATCCCCCAGAGAAAAAAGAGAGGTCAATGATTCAAGTTCTTCTAGCATCCCCAAGTTATATCAAGGGGAAATCTGTACAGATTCCATTG